GAACACCAGCTTCTTCTCTTCGCCCACACAATGACGGCATTGTATGGGGAATCCAGCCCACTACTCTCAGTCTCCCTTTCTGCAAACCCAGCTATAATGATGAGTCAAATCAGGACCAAAGAGCTGAGCTTTCGGTGACAGCCAGCCCTATAATCACTTGTACCAGCTGGATAAATCCAAGTTGCTTGTTTTGTATGGAATTTGTTTGCGTGCTATCTAGCAACACCCAAAGATCGGGGGGGGGGGGGGGGGGGGGGAAATTTCAGAAGTCTTTAGTTGAGGTCATGAAATACATGAGTAGATTCTAAAACCCACCTCTGAAATGTCACTCAGTTTACAAAATGGAAAAGTTGTAAATAAGCTGAATATTGTCAACATATTGTATTTTACACATAAAAGGATGGACTGGTTCTTGATTTTTTCTTACAAAATACAAGTGTACTGTGAAGATCAGTCTGGTTTTGAGATTCTAATACATACACAAAGCCACTGACAGGCTATGAGACACATCAGCCTTTTGCAGCATAGCACCCAGATATAAACACAGATTGATTTAAAACACACAAAAAAATTCTGACTGCTGAATTTAACTGACCAAATTGAAAAAAATCTTGGGATGCTTCTGAAAGCTCCTAAATTTTAAGTTTGGAAGGCAAGAAGTCAGGTATTCTAAATTGATAATCACAAATTAGATTTTCTGCATGAACATATCAATAAAAACCAAGGTAGGTTAAAGTTTTTAGACAGCTCCTAAACTTTCACTGTGGTTCATAAGTGCATATTATGAAATACTCCAGCCCCGAAAAACCCTTAAAGGCTAGTATATCAAAACAAGCCACAGAACAGTCTTTCTAGTGGGGCACAGTACTGAAGACTGGTAATGAATAAAACAGAAGGATCACTTAAAAAAAAGGGTGCTTAGAATACTGAGAAAGTGTTTTTCAAAGGAGGTTAGGAGGTTGTTCCTAGGTACCTGAAAGAATAAGGTCCAAGGATGACATTGAGTGGCAAAAGGGGAAGGAAGGACAGGGGAAGGGACCAATCTAATCACCATGCAAGAAGACCATAGCAATGGTTTCACAATGAAGGCGGCTGAAGACAGATTCTGGAGGAAAAAGGACAACAAATCATGTGAACTACAACACTGCAGATCAGAAATTATGCCGTCATGGCATGATGTCTGAAAAAACTGCACACCATGAGATTACAGTTGGTGATGTCACAGAAAGAGGATGGAAAATTCTGTCTTCACGAACTCCGTGTCCAAGGTAGTAGTGAGGTGAGCAAGAAGATGTACCAGGGAAAGACCGCAGGAGAGAAGGCAGAGATGGGGGTAGCTTTGGAATTCATCCATGGCTTGGTAACAGTTGGGGGAAGACAAAATTTCTAGTGCAGTGGTTCCCAAACTGAGAATCACAGGGTCATAATCACCATCCACAGTTGTCCAAGGGCTCCTGGCTGGAAGGATCTCCATTAAGAATACACACTATATGAGCAGAATATTGCAACGACCTCTCCCACAGATCTACCATAAAACAGGTCAGTAACTGATGCTTTTGAGACAGAAAACCAAAGAACTGAACCTCCAGGAACAGCATCAGGAAATGGATAAAGAGCTGTTTAAAGAGACAAGGAATAAACAGTATGCAAAGTAGCAGGAGAATGTAAAGAGCCCTGAAAGCCAGGAAAAAGAAAGCCTGCCGAATCAAAGATAGTCATCAAACTCAAAACCTGGAGGACAGAAAGCTGTTCCTTTGCACTAGATGGAGACTACTACTGATCACTGTTACAGCAGCTTCACTAGAGCTCAAAGGAGAAAGGCAGAAGAGACAGAACAGAGAAAGAATTAGAAGAAAACCAAGGGAAAGTCAGCACAGAAAACCAAAAGGAATGGGACCCTATAATCATAGAATGGTTTGAGTTGGAAGGGACCTTAAAGATCATCTAGTTCCAACCCATATAAATATGATATGAGCAGAGTTTTCAATTTGTGTTTCCCTTGAGAAAGAAGACTGCCAGAAGTTTGAAGGGAAAGGTAAACTAGTCAGAAAGGGAAAAGACTTGAGAAGAGGCCCTCAGAGCAGATGGAGGTGTAGTGCAGGAGGAAAAAGGAGTGAATTTTTAAGGTGTAACAAAAAAGAACAGAGATTGCAAATCAGGTCAAGAAAGAAATGGTGGAAATAGGACTGAAGAAAGCGAAAACACAACAAGGTCAGAGGAAAAGAGGAAAAAGAGGAGAATTAATACTTGATTTGGCTGATATTTTAGTCTAGCTTCTTATGGCTAACATGTTTTGTGCAGCCCAGCTGTCCGTAAGCGAGGTTGCCTCTCCCCATCCCAACAGCTTTTGAACATGTTGGTCAGCTTCAGTGAAATTTTAAATCTTGAAGAAAATCAGGTTCTTTCAAATTGCACGGATATGTGTGTTCAGGTAAAGGAGAAATAAATTTGTGTTTCCTAAGTAGACAAAAGGCTGTAACATTAATTCTTCCGTATTATTTCCCCCTGATTCACCAGAGAATCAGCATGAAACTCCAGCTCCATACCAAGCAGAAGAAACATAGGCTCTCTAATAAACCTGGGTTAACCAACTAAAAGTCAGAGATCCACAGGACATAAGGCTTCCTCAGCGGCAGTGCTCAATGCTCAGTGGTTACTGAAATTTGCAAAGCAACTATCTAAATTTTTGTATGAAGAAAGTGGAGAGAAAGAGAAGCATGAAGAACTGATACTGGAAACCAAGGGTGAAGGTAGATTTGAGTACTGGCAGGAGCCTATATGGTTAGCAATAAGAACGACAAGGTGTCAACTTTCTTATGGTACAGGACCAAGAAAAAATGTATGAAAGCAAGTGTAGAGCAAAGATGAAGGAAAAGAAAAATAAACCAAACGGTTCAAAAGGGCTCAAGGGAAAAGGGTAACATTCTTCAGAGAAAGAGTAGAAACTGGCAACGTAGAGTTTTCTGAGGCTGTCTCTGGTGTTGTGGTCATGTACTGCTGTCTGCTGTCATCCAGCACGCCACTTCTGTTGACCTGAAAGCTCAACTTTCAACGGCAAATGGAGTACATGACTGTCCACCAAAGGGAACACTGCTTGACTCAGTGGTCTCATCATGTTTCTTGCCAGTTTCTGGCACTAAGGAAGTTGATTCAATCAGTGGAAGAGATTCATAAAACCCTATTCCAACCTTCTGAAGAGCTAGCATAAAATAACCCAAATATTGCCAGTCTCAAACAGTCAAGTTACTGTTTTGGAGTTATTTCTCACAGACTGACAGGTTTTGTACATAACTAATCTTTTTTTTTTTTCCCTTTTAACAGCAGCTATTGCTAAGTGCTGAATTACTCCAATTTGCAAATTAGCAAATAAGCGAACAAGATTTTTTTGTTGTTGTTGAATAATGGTTAACACATTCATACATTTTGACAAGTGTGGTCTTGCTTTAATTATTTATGAAAATGCTTTGTGGTATGCCAATAAAAGCCCTACAGTGTACTTCTGCGTATTTTTCAAAAATAATGAAGTCTTAGGGACATGTGACCTTTCTGCCACAGTCTGCAATTACGTCTGTGCTTAGAGGGAATGTGTGGGTGAGCAAATGACACCACCATTTGTGTGTTAGCATCTGAGTATGATGAGATTTCCTATTTAATTAAATCAGTTACAGCACATTCTTACCATAGTTCTTCCTAACAGACACTTAAATTCTGACAGTTTTGTAGCATCTAAAAGAAAAAAATACAGGCATGATATCCAAGGAAAGCCTCAATACCAGAAATTCTAAAACTGAGGTGAGCTTAAATAGTTACTTCCACTACTTCAGCATCTACAGCTATAAAATAGGTGGGAAACAAGACTCCAACCCTATAGCTTTTCTGTCTAATGACACAAACCCAGGACTATGATATGTCACTCACTACAAAAGGCCAATAGCATGGAAGAAGTTGCAGGTTCAAAAGATGAAGTAAAAATGGCTAACTGCACAGTATCTGAAAAATATTATTTCACAAAAATAAATCAGCAAAATACCTTTTATTAATTTATTTTCATAACTTTATATGGATATAGCACCTGTCCCATTTTCAGCATGATCAGTATCTTCACTGTACTAAGCACTACACAACTATTTTCATTTTAAGGATCAAAATCATAGGTCTTGAATTGTTAAAAAAGAACATTACACTAGGGTACTGTAACTAATAAAATTAACTATGAGAGCATCTGTCCTGTGGTAGCTTTCCTTTAGCATTTTTTGAACTATCTTCTTGCTTTCATGCATGTTGGTCACTGTGTGTACACCTCTAATTATTGCCATAAACACATGGTTTAGCTGACATTGCTTCTCTGATCTGTATCTCATCTTTAGACATTCTTAAGTTTAGAAGGGTGCATTGTATTACCACATCCTACAGACAGTCAATCCATGCTTTGACAATCACAAGCACTTGAAAAGCAGCTAGTAGATGGGCCAGCACTGTAGTGTGCCAGATTAAATTTTGCGAATACCAACCTGCCAATCCTCAAATTCCTAATCTGATTTCAAATTAGTTAGAGACTATGCCAAAAACTTCCAGAAGATCAGATCCTGCTCCCAGATTCCACCCCCTGGATACCCAGAGGTAGCAGTACACAGAAAAAGGCTGAGAGCAGCCAAAGGTCTCTGTGAGTTCTCAGAGCATACCTGACCTACAGAGGGACAATGAAGAGTCTCAGTGTTTTCACTTTATTCTTTGATTATGTCAGCATCTATGATCACATTCTCATCTTAGCCAATACTTACAGAAGTCCTTGAAAGACACACTTTGGCACAAGTTATAAACAGAAATAATTCCAGGCATGATGGTAATTTACTTGGTTTTACTCATGAATCAGAATTAATTTAAACAAGAAAGGTACAGGCATCCTTGGAGACCATCAAGTCACACCAAACTGCATTGCTTTTCCCCTCTCTAAAATGAAATGTCATCCTACAAAAGGAAAGGGAGATGACGGCACTCACCTTACATCCCTCACAAGCACTGACACCATAGTGATAGCCGGATGACTTGTCTTGACAGACAAAACAGGGCTTGTAAACACGAGGGGGTGGAAGTGGTGAAGGAGGGCTTGGAACAAGTTCCTCAGAACTGGTGCTCTGAGTTTCCACTGCTACAAAAGAAAAAAGAAATATAATTGAATTATTTATCAATTAACTTTAAATAACTGATCATTTACTGTATTATAACTATCAAACTGGCCCATATCTTTCTTTGTATAATACACATTTATTTGTCTTCCCTAGCAAAATTTATGGGGAACTAAAGTAGGGCAATCAATGACAGGACTACACGCTATAGCGATCATTTTTCATGATTCAGCTACTCATCATCACAAAAGCTTCAGCTCACTTCAGATATAGGGTTTGAATCTCTTACCAGGCTCCAAAAATGGACAACTTTGTGTCATGTTCTGGTTTTAACCTATTGAATTGGATGGGATCCGTGTGCGCACACTGGGTATCAGCCTTCAAAGAAAAACTGTGGCATCTACCCTTCCAAACAGTACCTAATCTTGAAGAGTTCTTGTATCTCTTGCTTTTTTCTACAAAAGGTAACACTTCCAACGAGCAGTTCTGCAACAGCAGGACAGCCACATGCATCAGGACATATGTACAGAGACAAACAACTGAGTTTAAGACCTGAAGTGAAAATTACCTGGGGTTTTTTTGTTTTTTTTTTTTAAATCTGTAAAACTAGCGCAACCCAGCAACACTTCCTTACCTACTTTAGGATTTGTAACATCAGGAAACCTCTCTGAGAAAGAGCTACTTACACATTATGACCCCACATCCCTTTATTGCCTTAATATTTCTAGATGGTCATTTGTTTTGAACCTGCTGAAAAGCCAGTTATCCCTTTCAGGGAAAGGACGTGAAAGCTCTACAATGCGAGATAAGACATGAGAACTACATCTTTCCAAAACATCTGCATTAGTTTTCTGTGATATGCTGTCATCATTCCTCACATTTATTGTAACGTGCAATACATTTTCATGTTTCACCTAGCCGTTTGCTGCTTCTCAGATAAATCCCTCTAACTTTTCAACAGATATACAAAAATGACAGGATCTGTGAACTCAGATCTATCCAGAAATATGAGGCACTATCAGCAGAGCTGAATCTCAAGAGTACTAACAGCAGGCCCTAAAGAATATTACTCAATGGAAAAATCTTAGACAAGATTTACTGTACATGATATTTTTCAGATTACAAATATGATACATTTGTATTAAACTCATGATTCATTGTCAACTCATGTTCTGCAGAATTCGCAGAGGGAATCACTGAGCACGATGCAACTTTTGATTACTTGTGAGAGAAGGGGCCCTTTCTGTCATATTTACTTCAGTTAATCTACTATCAACTTCAAGGACAGACATTTCTTGAGAAGAAAATAAATGTGAGAGTGAACTGTTAAAGGCTCTGATTCTAAGCAAAGAAATATCTTTCAAACGGGAACAATTTATTTATGTATCTAACAATAAGGAGACTGTGAAAAAACAGAAAAGTAAAATAACATGGCTCCATAAATTGTGACATTGATGTCCAGAACTGTACTTACCTTTTGCAGCATTAAATACTCTGAACTTTGGCAAACAAAAAATCTACAGGTACCTACTTGCACCAAAAAAACTTTAAGAATGATCATTTCTTGTCAACAATAATTTTCGGTATTTAAGAGACATAGAGAGTGCTCTGCTATTGATCTCTGCACAGCCACCCTGCTTGAATCAATAATCTATTAGTACTTTTAAATTAAAGTTAGATTCATCAAATGCCCTTGAGGGGCCTCAAACATTCCTGCCTTATTTCATGCTCATACATGAATTATGGTGGCTTCCAATCAGTCTATGGAATGGTAAAATTTTAGCTTTAAAACTCTAATACCAGCAGATAATGTGTTTCGTATTAGCTCATTCAACTCTCCCAGTCCATCTAAAAGGCAGTTTTTAGGCTCCCCATGGGAAAACAAGGTTGTGCCATTCAAATAAAACAACTACACTCCTGCAATCCCTCTGTGATTTCAGTTTGGGGAAAATAGTCTTTGAGGAATAATGCTGATAGACTCTGCCTTTTTCATGATTTCATCCTAAACAAGCACCAGCATCCAACAGTAGTGTTCAAACCATGAAACATATGTACCACAGACATCTGTCAGGCACTGGCCAAGCACCAGGAACTTGCGATACCCAGAAGAGATTAAGCAACCAGCTCAGTTCATAAATACATGACACAGCAACTGAAAAGCTGAAGGTGCCATTAGGGAATTTTTTTCTGGACTTTTTTCAAGCTGAACAGTTTGAAGAGCTGTACGAGAAGGAAAGAGCCACTGTAAACCAGAAGACCCTCCCTAAAACACCCATATATATATATATATATATATATATATATATGCGCGCCACTAAAAGGACTTAATCTACTGAATATAATACTTGCATCAGAGGAGAACTGTCTAGAGAGTTTGATTTTTTTTTTTTTTTTTTTTTAAACTGTTGTTTGGAAGACAGACAAGGGTAGGAAAAAAAAAAAAAGAGTGAGAGAGAAAGAAAACATTATCGTGGAGACTTGCCAGCCTTGACTTAGTAACCTGGCCATGACCCTCCAGCGAGTGTGTGTTTGACCCGGTCACACATGACTCTGGCTGCGTACTGTTGCTGGGTTATAATTCCCAGATATTTTTACCATATATACAACAGGTGGGGATCACAGACAACAGAAAGAGGAAAACAAAGTCCTCCCTTGTGTGAAGACTCCAATTTTCTCCCTTGCAAAGAAAACAACACAAAGCATAAGTCCTGCTACTATTTCACATATTGGCACTTGCTGTGCTGGATCGTTGTTTTACCCGGGGGTTGACGGCATGGAGGTAGAGTGGGCTGAGAGCAGGAGGACTGAGGAAGAGTCTCAGGGGAAACCATGTGCAAATGTTAATCAACGGAGAATGAATTACCAAACTGTAACATCGGAATCACAATCAAAAATCTTTCCTCATAGGGCTGGGTATGCAGTGAGGTTCAGGAGGGAATGCTTTTTATTACATGTGAACACAACATACCTGGATTAAAACAATCTGCCATATTTACTCCAGACTGAGATATTATTATCAGGATTTTCAGTACTTAAGAAAGTATGTTTTCCACATTTGATGATTTCTTTTTTATTATTTGCATCTTGCTAGCTGCACACATCCGCCTTAAAGGCATGATGTGAAATACACATAATTCTATTTTAAATCTTGATTATAATTTTTCCAGCATTAATTTTAATCAAGTCATAGTTCATCTCTACAAGACTGTCTGGACCTTAAAAAAAAAAAAAAAGGTACTATTTGGGCTGAAAGACAAAAAAACCCCACCTCTAAATATTCTAAATCTTTTAGTTCTAAAAGTTCTAAATCTTTTAGTCTGAAAAGGGGCATTCCACTTTCCACAGGGTATCAGATGAAACTTCATGCCCTGGTTTCTGCTTGAGGGTGCCCAATCCAAAATGATCCTTTTCTGTTATGTTAAAAGCTAAAAGAGTATCCCACAGGTTTTTCACTACGTGCTGCTTGGGATTCCTACAGTATGATTAAAATAACAACAAAACTAGCAAGAAGTAGAGGTTATGGAGCTCAGAAGCCCAATCTGCAAGTTCTTACTACTAATGGACAAGCTGCACCCAAGGTCACCTAAAATGTGCCCCAGACCCAGTCATTTTAAGAGCCATGCCTAGGGCACAGGCTGCTGCTGCCAACAGCTATCTCGGACAAGGTGCAAGTCCCTATAGGCACAGCTGAGTTGACAGAAGTCTCTAAAGCCAAAGTGCTTTTGCTGCTATGACTCTTGTCAGTGAGAGAGCGATAGGAACAGCTGGCTTCTGTCCTGTCGCATCTGGGGGAAGAGGGGTCCTGCTGAACTTTGCCCTCCGCCTTGTGAGTGCAAGAAGCAGTTAAGCACACTCTCTGCTCTGATATCCTTACTCTAATGAAGTTCCAAGTACAAATTTGGCCATTGCTCCACTGCAGGCAGACATACCATCAGGACAGTAATTTCTTCCCCCACCCTTTCGCATCTCATTTATTTAGACAGCATGCTATTTTGGGCAGGGTCTCAGAATATGCTGTACAGTAACCGGCGCTGCAGGATCTTCAAGCGCTACTCCAATGCAAATAATGGTAATGATCGTGATCCTGCCAAGTTAAAGGCATTTGAAAGAATGAACCTTGAAAGGCCTCCATAACCTTGAGGGGAGCTATTACTTGCAAAGCAGGTCCTCGGAGTGCTTTCATTTTAACTATTTTAGCATTTCAGTGTTAAAACACAGACTAACTTCAAAGGATGAGTCAAAAAAAAAGCTTCTCTATATTCAGCAAATGCCTTTGCTGTGTGTATACAAAGTTGTATTTGCCAACTGGAATGGCAGAAAAGTGTTTACACTCATCTGCTGCATTACCCCCAGTTTAGAACTTGGAGAGAGCGAGCTGCATCATATTCCTTCATGCCTTTCATCAACAGAATTGCCAAGTTTCAATTGCAAATCTGTAACGTTAACCTGCAGAGTCATGTAACGTAAGTCAGCAGTCAGTGGATACTGATCTTGGCCATACAAGAGCAGTATAGTCCTTTGAAACCTTTATTCATAGCAGGTGATTAGGGCCAGGAAATAAAGTTCAGCATCCTACTACCAGCATAGCAAAGCTATCCAGATTTGTTTGCAGGAAATCAGAAGACAACAGCACCTCTCTTTTGGTTATCCTTCTGTTCCAGTCTCGTAAGAGAATTTCTGTTCTTTAGCAGCTAACTTCTTCGTTTGTAGCACAGCTTTTATTATTCCCATAAATAACCTCTATCAGTTGTCCAGTGAAGGGTGGGGATCTTTTCTGGAACATACTTTTCCATTATGCCACAATCTAGCCTCTTAATTAATCCATTTGTTAAGCATGCAAATTCAGTGACCTGACTTTACAGCACCATTTATTAAAGCACTCCATGGGCCCCACCTGCCAGTGCATCTTCCCTGGTGACATTCCTGGACAGATCACAGACAGCCTGAGAGAGTCTCCCCACCCCGGGCCCCACTGTCCCCACCACGCAGCACAGCCTGCAGCACTTCTGGACCCGCAGTATTT